TTTACAAGTATTCTTTCCCTAGTCTCTTCAGGCTTTAAAATGTTATCCAGGCAGATTTAGTTTTAGTGTTTGGGTTGCTCTCATAGAGAGGATACATGGGTTTCTACACTCACTAAGGTATGTAACCTTAGTCTTTACAATGATTGAGTGTTTGGTCTGCTCTCACAGAGAGGATACATAAATTGATACACTCAAAACTAAGTTTCAGTAATATATTACCTGAAATGGTAATCTATTATCTGTCTTAATATTGAATTCTTTTGAATGAATCAAGTTTCATTTAATGTCAAAAAACTTTGTAATCTATTACCAACACTTGATAATATATTACATTATGTTTTCACATGAAATGAAAACATTGAGTTATGTTTACTAAAAGTTAAGTTTTTGAAATCAAACAATCATAACAAGCAAACACATATAAGTCTAAGACATATGAAACAATCAATACAATATCCTTTTAACATAGGCCAAAAATATAAAATGAAGCAAACTTAAACAAAGCTAAATCAAAACTAAAACTTCATCTTCAAAAAGCTCTTCAAAAGGGCTTGAAGCTTGACTTGGGCCTTCCAAGCCCATCGGGCCCATTAGACCTTGACTGGCCCAATCCTCCATGTGTAGCCCACTCCTCTTGGATCTTTTAGTATGTCACCTCTTGCATTCCAAAGCATGATTCCATCACCAAGGGCATGCCATGTATTGGTGGACCTCCTTAGAAAAAGAAAGGAGAATAAATCAAGAGCCCGCAGTCCAATATTGGAATGAGCTCCGTAGAGCCTTGAGAAGGAGGCATATTCCTCCATACTATGACTAAGAACTCATGGATAAACTTCAAAGACTAAAATAAGGGTCATCTAGTGTGGAAGAATATAGGAAATCTATGGAGTTGCTAATAATGAGAGCTGGGATTAGGGAGGAAGAGAAGACCAAAATCTCTAGATTTCAAAGTGGTCTTAATCTTGAGATAAGAGACAAAGTTGAGCTTTTGCCTTATAGAGATTTGAATGAACTTGTTCAACTTTGCTCAAGGGTGGATCATCAACTAAAAAGAAAATCTTTTCGAAATGACTCCACTCCCTCTTATTCCAAGAATTTTAAGAAGGAGGGCCACTCTTCCCAACCTTAAGCCAAAAAAGAAAAAGAAAAAGAAATAGAAAAATAAAAATCATCTTTCAAAGCACCTTCCAAAGAGTCTAAGTCAAGTGAAATCAAGTGCTTCAATTGTCTTGGAAGAGGACATATTGCTTCCCAATGTCCTACAAAGAAAACTATGGTTTTAAAAGCCCAATACCACTATAGTAGCCTTATTAAAGCTACTTCATATTCCTCTAGTAGTGAAGAT